TAACGAATCCGACAACACTGCACAAAAGCTTGCCCTCAAGCGCTATTATCAACCAAAGACACCAATCAGAATACGCATACAATTGACCGTAGAAGGCGACCAATCCTGCCTCTTGTTACTTCAACCAGGCGTGGCCATAGATGGCAGAATGTTTCTGTAGTTCTGTAGGATCGATGGGATCGATAGCGTAGGTTTTGGGCTCGTTTACGTTAGCTAGGTTTGGCGTTTGAGTGTACAATAGTTGGGATCTGAGGAGTAATAATAGTTTTATAGGTATGTTATGTTTATTACAGTAATAATATTTAAGAATAAGTATAAATTTATCGTTAAATGGTTACATAGGTACTTGAAAGTAAATTAATATTTGTGGCGTATGTCCTTGAAGACTTAACGCGTAAGCGGAATGTTTTTGCTTTTGTACAGAAAATGTAAAGTAATAATAATATTAATAGCTGTAAACTTTTAAATTAAATGTGCTTGTAGTTAACTGGCACCATGCTTGTGTATAATGATGACTCTGTGCAGTATTGGTAGGAACTTTCGCTGGATGATATGCATGTATATTAAGGCGCCATTTTGTTACGATGAAAGGGTTTAAATTTTGCCATTTACGTGTATTGCCAAATCAGGTCTTAACACTGCGTTGTGTATTATGTTGTAGCTGTACTCTGATGTTGCTGGTCACTCCGATGTTTGAAATGGCTCACAACGGAAAATATTTTTATATCGCAGATGCCATATTACTTACTCATAGGTAACGTTGCTTCGGTTTGTTTTTATACTCGCAGGCCAGCTTTACAATGTCACGTTATCGTGAGTGGGATCTGTCATGCAAAGTGTATGTTGGTAATTTGGGAAGCAGTGCATCGAAACATGAGATTGAATCAGCATTTAGCAAATATGGCCCATTGAGGAACGTGTGGGTTGCCAGAAATCCACCAGGTTTTGCCTTCGTTGAGTTTGAGGATCCTAGAGATGCCGAGGATGCAGTTCGAGGTTTGGATGGAACGTACGTACGAAGTTAAAACTTAATATTGTTAAGTGTTGAAACCAAATGGATCTGCGTTTAGGAAATGTGCAGGTAAAGAGTACAGCTGGAGCGCCAGTTGTGACTGAGGTTTTTATTCTTTAAGTCTGACACAAGATGAAAGTAATGGGTACAGGGATGAATTTGAGGATAATTTAATGATTGTATAATATTTAAGCTCTGTATACTTGTAGAATTATTGTTTAGTATTTATGTTCAGAATATAAGGGACTAACAATACATACCTTAAGAATAGTGTGTAGATGAACGCGAAATTGTAGTGTAGTGAGTACTAAAGTCAGAACAATTTTGGAAGCATTTTCATGACCTTGTAAATCGTTGGAATATTCATACTTAGACATCTAATGAAACCAAAATCTAGTTACACAAGAACCTGTTCAAAACAGGTTTGTATTTAACATTCATACTTTATAAATTATACTTAGTCCAAAATTACATGTCAGAAATGTGCATATATATACTGCAAACTGGTGCAGGGCAGTACTTACTTTCTCTTTCTTGCGCTTTTCAAAATCTCCCCCGTGGAGTTATTCTGCATTTTTTTTTCCCATTTGCACTTAATTGTTTCCATTTCATTCATTCATTTTCACATAACTTTCAAGAATAACTGATCATAGCAAAATTATATGAACAGAGAAATCCTGAGTCAGATTGGCCTGTCTTAAATCTTGCTTTGCTTCTAAGTTTTGATATTGAAACAGTTTCTGTTTATCAGTCATTTTGCATTACTTTTTGCCCAATTCTGTGAGGTGAGGATGCCCTGTGTCTGATCCTCTGCCCAGACATACCTCTACCACAGAGCCTGCAAGCTTCAGCCTCAGTTATGAGATGAAGGGGTGGAAGTCCAAGGAGAACTTCAAGAGCTGCTGTTGGGTTCATGTTCATAATCCAGTAATGAATGATCTACATGGATGACCATGCCTAGACCTACACTTGGCCACCACACAGCTGCTCCATACATAATCATAGGTCTTACTACACCTTGTAAAACCATTCCATAATTTTTGGTTTAAGCGTCCAAGTCATACAAAGAGTTATGTGGGAAGGAAGCTGTCCATATGCTTATTAAGTATCTCACCATGAAGATGTGTGGGGAAATGAAGGTATAGCTCCATCATTGCTGACCTTGGCAGTGGATGGAGGTGATTGGTGAGCCTCATGCCTCAGTTTGCTTAGCCCCTGGGGAAAGTGCCCACCCAAGGAATCCGTTGACAACCCAGAGGAAGATTCCTTCATTCACATTCTCCTTCCAAGCCAATGTAGCATCCAGGATGACTCTAGATACTTCAACTTAGTAATATGCAGAACTGTGTTCAGTTTAGTGGGTTCCATGAACTCTTTTGCCTTTCTTTCCTTCTCAGTGCAGGGCACAAGTTCCATCTTACCAGGATTGAGAGACAGTTTCTTGGTTACCCTGCACCTTCTTTGTTCTATATTCAGAGCCCTGAGACTGTACTTGGAAATTTTCCAGTTAACCAGGAAGGCCAAGTCATCTGCATACCTGTGTGCATATGGGCCTTTTTTGTTGAACCATACAAGGGGTAACTGACAACAAGGCTGAGCAGTAGGGAGGACAGGTCTCTTCCCCGCAGACCTCACAGCTGACAGACACCCTAATTGTTCATCCCATTTGGGCTTTTGCAGTATGCTAATTACTGAGCATGGCATGGATCCATCTTACATCATTATGCTCCACCATGCTCTTAGACCAAATTGCACATATATTGAAAGGTGATATTATCAGATGCACCCTCAGTGCCCCAAGAAAGCTTCCAGAGCAACAAGCCAGTCCATGATTGCCTTTTTGTCTTAAGGCACGTCCACATTACTTGTGCTTGTCGGGAGACTCGTCTGGCTTTTACTTGTGCTCGTAAATCTACGTCCACACTACTACAGTTGCTCGCCAGGCTTCGGCACGTGAGGATCCGTATAGTTACTCGTAGTGTGTATAGGCTGTAGTCGTATTTTAATTTATTGGCTATAGTTTTTAAATTAAAATTTTTAAATTTGCTTGTCTCGTGACTTGTCATCGTCCACATTACTCGCGAGCATAGCGAGTCGCACGAGCACGAGTAATGTGGACGCGCCTTTATAAACAAGACTGTGAAGAGCAGTCTTCCTGGACTTGCCTGTCTGGTATGCATGCTGAGAGAGATGCAATGGATATCGTGCCTAGGCTCCATCTCATACATTTATCCACCAGCCAGTGTTTTCAGAAGTAAAGAGGTGAGACTTATAGAATGAAAAGATTTCACTTTGGTCTAGTATGCTCAGGTTTAGGTGCGAAGATAACCCTGAATACTCTCCAGGATAATTGGATATATCTGATGCGGAATACAGGCTGTGAATGTCTTCGTCATAGGGCCGGTGATTACTTCCATCACCACCTGGTGATTTATAGCATTAAAGCCATGAACCACACACCTGGTCCTGTTATGGGACACTACCCACCCAGCCAACACCCAGTCCACAGTCTCCCAACTTACCACAACAGGTGAAGGACTCTGAGCTGCGTCCATTTCATATACCTCCATGGAGCTAGGTAAATTGGTCTCCAGCACTAGGTTTAATGCATCCTCGTCTTAGGATATATATTCCCTAGACAAAAGCAAAAGAGGCACAGACCTGACCTTTAGGATGTTTGGTGAGGTTTGTATGGAATCTTGCAGTGTAATTAATGACATCATTAGCTTCAGCTAGTGTCAAGTGGTAGGATTATAAAGTAATTGTAAAGTTTTCTGTTAGAGAGACATAGGAAGGCCACAGAACCCTCCTAACATAGCAGTATCCATGCTGAGATTTGAACCTGAGGCCTCTTGATTACGAAGTAGGAGGCCTACTCACTTGTCCACACCATGCAGTGTGAAGGCATCGAATTTCTTGATTAGCTGAGCAACTATTGAAGAAGAGCTGTATTCCATGGAATTAATGGGATGTGTATAAATACATATTGCACATCATGAAAGAAACAGTTTTCAAGTGGCATCAGTGTTTTATGGGAATCAATATGGTGGATAGTACATATATTTTACTATAAAATATTTCAGCTGATTTTTAAAAAAAAAAATCCAGTTCTTTTATTGTAAATTATGCCATTCTTTGCTGCAGACGCATGTGTGGGACACGAGTGCGTGTAGAGATGTCGTCAGGGCGTAGCCGACGTGGTGGTGGTGGAGGTGGTGGTGGTCGCAGAGGTTCTGCTCCTACACGCTATTCAAGGTATGAACAGTCGATGTATCATAAGCAAGATGTTAATTAACATGATAGAACATGTTTTGTGCATAAGTGCAAGGTAGTAAATGGCATTTATAAGTTCTTTATTACATGTACAGTTTTAGAATAAATGTTTGGAAAAATCTGGTTTAGCGTGATGTGAAAAGAGAAGTTGGAATATAAAAGGTCTCTGTGATTTTCGGTTAATTCTTTGTCCATTTTCATCAGCACTGTATATGAGTTTTACTTTTGTTGTGTCAGTTCTCTATTCGGTATGATTTGTTTTCATGTAGAAATTTGTTGTATGATTTTGCCACAAGAGCCTTGAATGTGTCATGCGTACATAAAGGGACAGGGAAGCCCATTCAGCTCGGTCTGGACGAGAGGTGTGTGACCATTCTGTTTGATGATGTGACGCAATTTACAGGGCTCTCTCGTCTCCTACCGCTCTACTACCTCTGGCTCCAGACACCACCCCGATCTTCATGTTTTTGCTACTACCAACATGACTGGGTCACCCAACAACTTCTTCACTTCCCCATATGAAAACTTGGTTCTACTCGTCGCAGCATTGCAACGCACCCGCGACACCCTTCTCGTCCATCTGTTAGGCCAAAAATAAGTGTGTCAGCAGTTACGCGCCGGCTATTTAAAAATTAAACCTTTCACCAACAACCATCAGTCACTACAACCATCACCACTACACCATCACTACTACTACCAACCACAATCCACTGGCAACCTGTCCAGGCAGTACAACCCTCGCCCAACTAGCCTCGACATCACGACATTCCAACATCACTTGATGTTGCCTGCATCGGCACAACAATAGCAGCTTCTCATCCAACTCGCCCGTCATTCTCTTCTGTCTTCATGTCAGCGCACTCGCCTGCCCGACTACAATACAGTCTGGTATTCTATTCAAATTAAGTTAATTAAAACATTGAGATTTCTTGAGAGCTATTACTTACTTGGATGAGTTTTCAAAAAGAGTAAAGGATTAGTTTGGTGTAGTTATAAGCCAGTTGGCAATTGATATAAAACAATGGCACTAAATCTTTTTGTATAACAAAATTCTGGTATATGGTAGTGATCATTGTAATTGTAGAGATTGTTATCTTTTAACTAACTTTTATTGGATTATAGCGTTGTTCCGGGTAAGAGATCCAGCAGTCCAGGAAATTTACATACATCTTGTGGTGATTTATGTCCAGCCAGTGTCTTGTATAGTCTTAACGGATTTTAATGGTTAGAGGAGACTAAACACAAATCTGAAATCGTTAGTAGTAATTTCCATTCCATATGAAAATTGACAGTTTTTTTTTTTTAATATTTTTTTTTTATTTATTTTCAAGGACATAAAATTTTAAATGTACACAAATTATTTCCATTGGCTTTGAAAGAATGCGGTGATGCTTATATTCATGATTTTTTTTTGTGTGTAACATCAGATTTTGTTTACCCTTTACCTTTTCCTTTTAAGTTGTGTATAAAACATAAAATGGTTACAGTAATGACAAGCCTCAAGTCGTGAGACATTCTAATAATTGAATATTACAGGAATGAAATTGTTGCTCAGTTGTCCACCACTTTGAAGAATGCAGTATAATCAGCAATGCATGAATTCAAGTAGATTTAACTAATACATAGGAAGATAGTTTACATCAAAATAATATAGATTACTAAATTGTTTCTGATAATCCCACAAATGTGGCATGCACTTTCCATTTATAGAAAACTATTGAGTAAAGGCAATAAATATAAATGTTGGTGTTTTAAATTCATAGCAATACCAGACACTTTCATAGTTGGTGAACATGCTGACAGAATATTTATTTGCTTTACTGAAGGAAGTGGATTTTGATTTGGTACATCGATTTTGTCATCTTGGATATCGGTCTGATTTGGTCTCTCTTGAGTTCCAGGTGAAGTTGGGATTTGAACACATCTTGGGTTTTTGTGAGACATGTAATAAGGAATGAAGGAAACATTGCGTCAGAAGAGGCATGTGAGGAGCAGTGGTATATTGACAGTTGTATAAGCTGTGTAACTGTGTATGCACTGGTTGTTTTAGGTCACGCTCACCGCGTAGACGTTCACACAGCAGGTCACGCTCCAGGAGTCGCTCACCCCGGCGTTCTCGTTCTGACTCCAGAGACAGGCGGTAATATTGCTAACATAGTTCACAGAGTTTTTAGAACAGATGGTGCAATACCTAGCTGTTATACTAATGTATCGTAGATCTCGTCAAAAGGTTATACATATCTGTATGTGTAAGAAAAAGTTGTTAATTTATGTAGCCCTTGATTATGTATTGCTTTTAATCACTTTTATCTCCTATTTACAGATGAACATTTGTGGAGACGACATTCATCAGAACTCTGGCTAGGCACATCAGCAGTGAGTGTGCATTGTGACCTTGGCTTAATTACAACATTCAGGAATGTCTGAATGCATTGAAACTATTTTAGGTTGCCTTTTTTTATTGGTGTATTCTCATGTCCTCTGTCATTTATTTGTTTTGTGTGTGTGCAACATACAATTAAATTTCTTAATAAAACATATGATAATGTAACAGTTGTACAATTCCATTTACCATTAAAGAATTCTTGCAAGTCTCATCTTTATGTCTATTCTGTTGCAATATATCTGTCCTGTGTTTCCTAGAGCATGTTTGAGTCATTGGATCTGATTGTATTCACAAGGTATGTGGTTCAATTCTGTTGGCCAAACTGACTGTAGTAGTGTCTAATATGTATATCAATTCAGATGGAGGAAAAATATTTAACCTACTTGTGTCCCATTTAAGACAGGAAACTGTCTTATGGCATGATTATGATGTTTGCTATGTGTATGTTTCCCATTTTAATTTTTTAACCAGTTGACTGATTTTTGTGACATTTGGTGTGGACATCATGGCATTAGTGTTAGCCCAGTTCTCCATTTTTTTGGGGGGGGGGGGCATATTTGAACTTCAGACTGTGTGAGTGTGAGAGAGGAAACTGTGATTGTGGAGAGAATAGATCAGAAGATTTTTAGTAGCTTTATGTATTTTCATTTTCCCTTGTCATGAAAAGGTGGGTTCGACATTTTATTCGTAGTATTCAAGAATCTGTCCCATCATAGAATCATGCCTGTTTTACATGAACATCCCAGTTCTAAAAATATGGATCATAAAACAAAGTGGCAGTTTTCATGAAAAGGGCTCCATGTATTTTGAACAAATTTCAATAGTTCATGAAGACCATATATCTAAATAAAACTGTGTAGGTAGTGTCTTAAGGGAGACCATGGTATAACCCAGATGCAAAATGTCTGTTATGAAACTATCTTTGCCAGTCAGATATTGTTTGGTGTTCAGCACCAGTAGTGGCCTACTGTGCAATAGCTCATTGAGTTCTGAATGTAACATACCCAAGGTCAGTGGTATGTAAGAAGGTACATGTGTTTTCTATAGCAGAGAGTGGTGACAGAGTATTGTCTCATTCAGGGTATTGAAAGTGTGTGTAGTTGGAAAATTATAACTTTGGTTAGGGTATTTGTGGAATGTAAAACAGGATGGTAACTATGTAAGATTTGAGGCTTTCACGGCGGTGACTATGAAGAAAGCAGTCTTCTGGGATTTGGCACCGTGTATATGTGGTGTTAACCGACGTTTCGGAGGAACGCATCGCCTCCATCTTCAGGGTAGAAGGAAAAATATAAGAAATCTGCAAACAAAGAGACCGTGCTGCTTTTACCGGTTCTCACGGTCTCTTCGCTTGCAGATTTCTTATATTTTTTCTTCTACCCTGAAGATGGAGGCGATACGTTCCTCCGAAACGTCGGTTAACACCACATATACACGGTGCCAAATCCCAGAAGACTGCTTTCTTCAGGATGGTAACTGCATGAAATCAGTATATAGCCTTTGGTTTGTCAGTGGTAATGGTATGTGGAATTTAATACACAGACAAAAACGTGTACATGCATTTAATATAATTTATGAGCAGACAATTGCAAACATTTGCAGAAATTGTAGGTTAAGTCGTACAAATTTTATGAGGGGTCTGTAGATACAGAAGTACATTTTTCTGTATGCAAGTAGTTACATTGACTTTACAGTCACTAACATCAGGTATGGAGTTTTTATATTGTGGAGTATTTGCTGAAGGCAAGAACTGAAGCCAGCAGAGACAACTGTTGCAAAAACCCATTGCTAGGCAACAGATTCGTAATGCAACAATGGAGTAACTGCAAAGCTGTGCTGTCTATGCAGTCCAGGCTATAGCTATGTGATGCAACCATTAGAAGTGTTGGGAGATATGTTTTCTGTGTGGTCTGTGCTGAGGTGTTATAAGCATGATGAGTCTAGAGTTTAGTTGTTAGACAGTTGCCAGCCAGTAAGGACATGAACACATAAGCTGAGGAAGCTATGGAGTTGGAAATCATTACCAGGTGACAACTGGTGAAGGTACAGCAGACTGCTTTGTACACACTGTATTGAACTGCAGCGTGAATTAGCAATAGCACTATAGGTACTTGAGTTCACTAAATCCAATTGCCAATCCAAACTCTGTATGTAGTCACTTAATCACATGACAGTATTTTATAAAACATTGTAATATTGTATGTTTTGATATCTTTATTGTAGATACTTTTTTACCTCAAGGGCCTTACTGCCAAGGTGAACTGATTGGTGTTAAACTGTCTGTCGCAAAGTAACTTGACACTGACTTGTGACATTTAGTGCAATGCAGTGGATTGGAGTCTGTTGGTGGTGAGTCAGTGAGTGAGTGAATTAGAGGACTGCTGCTGCTGTTAGAAGCTGGTAGCTGAGGCACAGGGATGGTTCAAGAACCCAGAGCAATGGGAATGTCAGCCGTTGAAATCTGTTACCACACAACAGACTGAGAAGGCTTAGTACATGCTGTAGTGATGTGCAGAGTGAGCGAATTAGCGATAGAGCTATAGTTACGACCTGTAAGTGTTCGATAAATCCAGTTACTAATCCAAACCCTGGTAGAGGCCTTGCGACGAGCTGATCACTCGCCCAAGGAGTCCTACCGTATGTGTAAGATCTAGAAAAACCGAAGTGAACGGAGTTCATGGAGGTAGGCCTAGGCCCGCTGGGGCTGTAGTGCCAAGGGAAAAAAAATCCAAACCCTGGCTATAGTCACTCTTAACAGTGAAAATATTATAGGGTGATCTTTTTACCTTTATGCATATTATATTTTCTCATGTTAATATGAGTATGACCCTGCGTATTGGGAAGGTAATTGTTGAGATTTCTGTGTGAAGAGTGACGTAGTAGGTTATTTTGGTATTTCTACCAGACTTCACTGTGCAATATTCCAGAAGATTGTGTTCTTAATAAATTGCTGTCAGACAGCAAGAGGTCATGGCTTCTTTCAAGAAGCAGTCCCAGCTTTCAAAGGCAAATTTTCCTAAAATTGGATCTTGGAATTCGATTTTAGTTCTACTGAAGTTCCGCATGTGAAGACTTCGTACATGCTTACTGTCACATGAAAGGACGATTATGGTGAATTCGAAAAGATATGAAAGAAGCGCTCATGGCCTGTTTTTATATGATCCCCCAGTATTTTACTTTACATACTGAGAAAAACCGCCGAAAAATCTCATATGTTAGATCCCCAGACTGAGATTCAAACCTGGGGTCTTCAGAACAAGAATCCAAAACACTGACTATTCGATGGCAATGTCTAGTATGAAATTTCGGTTTCACACTCTGGGCACTAGCCTATAACAGTATTTCATATTGTCACATATGTGGGTGATTTATAAAACGGGGTTTGGGTTGTTAATTGGGTTTAGTGTTCACTCCTTATACAGTCACTCGTAATCAGAATAAATTACAAGAACTCGCAATAAATTAAACTTCCCTGACTGCCTAGGACTTTCTCCATTCTGACCTGAGCTCAGAGTCAGAGTTACCTTACGACTGACGTTACAGCCAATCAGTTCATCTTGGCTCCCTTTTCTTCGCCTCCTACGGCTCGCAGGACTAATTAATCTGATCTGAACTACAACTGGTCTCCTGTTATGCAATGTCGGGACGGACCGACAGCTAAAACATCTTTCCATCTCGATCCAAGGAAACGTCTCTGTATCACGCAGCGATGGATTGCTTCCAAGAATATGTGTTGCGTAGCCGGGCTGGTTACTCCGCCGTCGTCAGGTTAATTATAATTAATTATCTCAAGAAGGACGTTTGCCTAATATTACTGAATATCAGTAATGGTATTTTCAATATCTCGTGGGAAAGGACTCTGCCTAGACAAGAGTCGAAGGAAAACCGGAGAATCACAAGTTGAAGTTGAGTTGAGAAAGATGTTTATTAGAAGTTCGAAAAGTTAGATTAAGTAGTCTTCAATACAGTCGATGTACACTAGACCAGATCTTGTTGGCCTCTCTTCTGCCCTCTCTACATACATACATTTCTTATACTTAACAAAAATTAACTGGGATAGCAAGTCAGACTGTTTTAATTAGGCTGTCTCTTAAAGTTGGAAGGGGTGAGCTATTGGTAGTGATAGACCCCTGAACTTTAACAAGGCTACTGTTTCCCTACGTCTATCTTATCGTCAGTTTTTTCTTGGTTCCTGGGTTACAGCATCGAGACAGATTAATGGTTTCCTGTGTCTGACAAACAATCTCAATAT